CAGGACACAGGGAATAGCTTCCCACTGGTTTCGATGGGATATTGGGAAGGAATTCTTCCCTGTGAGGGTGGGGAGGCTCTGGCCCAGGTTTCCCAGAGGAGGAGGAGGAGGAGGTGGCACCACTCAGCCAAATGATTCCAGAGTGGTTTGGGTTGGAAGGGATTTTAAGGATCAGCTCATTCCCACCCCCTGCCATGGGCAGGGACACCTCCCACTATCCTAGGTTATTCCAACCTGGTCTTGGACACTTCCAGGGATGGGGCAGCCACAGTTGCCCAGGTGAATAAAAGATAGGTTTAGATTTACATTAGACATTAAAAATGCTTTATTTGGGGATATTAGTGACTAAGGAATGGGAAAAACAGCATTTGGGATACAAAACCAATCTTACAGCTGTTTCCATGCTCTTTGTGTCTCTTCATTCCACTGATCCCTCTTTGTTTACTTCTTCTAAATAGGGATAATTAAAGGAAATTGGGCCTCTCTCCACGTGGGTTTGGGGCCATCACAAATCCCCAAAATGCTGGCTGGGAGAGGGACCCTGCCCTTTCCACATGGGATGGAGTGACAGGACACAGGGAATGGCTTCCAGCTGGGTTAGATGGGATACTGGGAAGGAATTCCTGCCTGGGAGGGTGTGAGGGGCTGGGATGGAATTCCCATAGAAGCTGTGGCTGCCCCATCCCTGGCAGCGTCCAGGCTGGAATAACCTGGGCTATGGAAGGCATCCCTGCCCATGGGACTGGATGATCCTTAAAACCCCTTCCATCCCAAACCATCCTGGGAGGTAACTGGGAATTAGGAGTTGCTGGCAAACCCCTCTAGGAGCCCTCAGTGGCCCAGGAGCCCCGAGAGGAAGCGCCCCCCGGCACAGACTGCAGAGCTGCCCCTCTGGAGCTCAGGGCCAGGCTCACCATGAGGGGCAGGAGGAGGAGTTGGCTCCAGGGCTCTTTGGCTCCAGAGTCCTGGGAAAATGCCCAGGGAAGCTGGATCCAGGGAAAGGCGAGGAGAAGCTGTGCAGGGCAGGTGCTGGAGCTGGAGGAGCTTTGGCAGATGTGTTTGGATATAACTTTGGAACAGGTTGTCCAGAGAAGTTGTGGATATCCCACCATCCCTGGAAGTGGCCAGGGTGGATGGGGCTGGCATAAAGTGGTCTAGTGGAAGGTGTCCCTACCCATGGCAGGGGGTGGAACAGGATGATCCTTAAAATCCCTCCCCACCCAAACCACTGTGGGATCGGAGGATTCCATTTGGTGTCCATTTTTATCCTGCAGGAGAGACAGACATCCATGAGGAAGGGAATGAAATCCATGGCAGGGGGCTGCAATTAGAGGATTTCCAAGGTCCCTTCCAAGCCAAACCATCCCAGGATTCTAGTTCCAAGCCCTTGCCATGGGCATGGACACATCCCCTCTCCCTGACCTTTTCCCAGTGGTTTATCTTCCCTCCCCAAGGCTGGATTAGAGCAGGGAAATCCCAGCCTGTCCTTAGGGTTTCCCAGTTCCCTTGCTGCGCTGTAAAAATCCAGGTAATCAGTGACTTACGATTCCTTTGGAATCGGGCTGGGGGGGATTTGTCCCTTTGGGTTGCTCTTCCTTGCCTGGGAAGTTCCAGATCTGCTCCTGCCAGTGGCTGGTGGCTCCCAGTGTTTGCCGAGGGCAACCCACCCACTTTATATGCAAATGCCCTTTGATATCATTGGCAGACAGAGGCGGCCACGGAAATTAAACTGGAATTAAAATTCCCTTCCCCAAACCGAGCACAAAATGTCCTTGCAATCCACCGGATGTCTTTTCCTGGTGGGATCTGATTTCCCTTGCATCCTGTCTGCAGTCAGACCAGGATCCTTTATTCCCTGCACGGGGACACCTTCCACTATCCCAGGTTGCTCCAAGCCCCATCCAACCCTGCCTTGGACATTCCAGGGATGGAGCCGCCACCCTGTCATGTCAGGGAGTTGTGAGAGCCAGCAGGTCCCTCTGAAGCTCTGGAAAAGCTGGAATGATGCAGATGGAGCAGAAAGTACCCGGGTAAGGCTGCCCAACAATGTGGGGGTTTGTGAGCTCACCCCACAGCAGGACAATGGGATCTTTGTTGGGAATATCCAGGCTGGGAACAGTTGAGTTTGTTTACCCTGTTGGTGTTTCACAGCGGTGTCTCCGTGGATATTTGTGCAGGCTTTGGGAATTTCAGGCACCAAAGAAAGGACCCATCTGATCCCAGGAATGACTTTCTCCTCCTCCCCTCCCCTCCCTGCCTCTGTTGTTTGGGGTTTGTTTTTTCCAGTCCTGATATTTGGAGCCAAAAGCTTCTGGAAGAGAAGGGCCCCGGGGGATGTGCAGTTTAAACGTCCCAATTCCTGAGCTGATCCAGTCTCCAGGTTCACTCTGGTTTTGACACAATTCCTACAAGGAGGATTGTGATTTTAAGGATCATCTTCCAGGTGCCTCAGAGAAGCTGTGGCTGCCCCATCCTTGGAATTGTCCAAGGCCAGGTTGGAGCAGCCTGGGATAGTGGAAGGTGTCCCTGCCCATGGCAGGGGGTGGTACTGGATGATCCTTGAAATCCCTTCCAGCTAAACCATCCATGATTCCATGACTCTTTAAATCCCACCTTTTTGATCATGTATTTCCTGAAAAAAATTCCCAAACCTGCCCATGATGATTCCCTTATTGGAATATCCCGTTGTCTAATGTGGTTAAATCAGGTTGATTCCCCAAATTCTGGCATTCTGGGCAAATAACATCAGCATCCTAGTTTATAACTCTGGGATAAATCCAAGCTCCAGTAAGTCCCTGGAGGATTTTTGTCATGACTTTGGAGCCACTGGAGTTTCCCATTCCCAATCACCCCCGTGACAGGACTTGGAAGGACCACAATAAACTCCTGGAATTTGGTTTAGGACCCTACAAACCTTCAGGATCATCCAGTTCCACCCCGTGCCGTGGGCAGGGACACCTTCCCGGCTGGCTGATCCTGGAGGTCTCTTCCAACCGTGATGATGATTCCATGAGTTTGAAAAGCTCTGGAAATTTAGGATATTTCCCAAATCCAGCTTCTTCCACAGGTGGAGCTTATTCTAGGGCTCAAAGGTCCATGTCTTCACCTTCTTTTCCCTGGCGCTGAGATAAAGCCTTGGTGTTAGAACAAGAGCTCTGTGTTCCTCTCTGACCGAGGAATCAGGGCTTGGATTTGGGGCTTTTCTCGGGAAGCACCGGAGCAGGAGCCGATCCCCGCAGATTGTCCTGATGAGAACTAGAGGGCCTTTTTCCAATCAGGGGAATAACCGGATTAGGCCCCTGTGTTGTGTCAGCCTGCCCGGATTCGATTAGGGCCGGGGAAATGGATTTGTCCGTCACAGTTACTTCATTAGGGCCCCTCAGTGATGGCTTGCAGGGAGTCGGGAGCACTCAGCACCTCTGGAGCACAAACACAGGGAGAACTGGGAGAGGCCGGCACGAGACTCCGGGCAAAACGCGCGGCACACACTGCTCCTCGTTTTCTGAAGGAGCACTGGGAGGTTGGGAAGGAATTCCCAGCTGGGAGGGGGGGAGGCCCTGGAATGGATTTCCCGGAAGATGCCCCATCCCTGGAAGTGTCCAAGGCCAGCTTGGAATAACCTGGTCTCTGGAAGGTGTCGCTGCTCACGGGAGTGGACAGTCCTTAAAACCCCTCCCATCCCACCCCATTCCATGATTGTTTGCTTCCAAAAGAACCCAGACTGCCCAGAGCCCTCCAGGTGCTGGTGGTGGAAGCTCTGCCCGTCCCAATCCCTGGGATGGCATCCAGTGGTTTTTAGCTTCACAGAGTGAATTGGCTGTTCCACAGCACGAGTGATTTTTGAGGATCCTGCTAATTAACCCTCTGGAATGATTGAGTGGGTCTGTCAGGGAAATGATCCACACTTTCTTTCCCTTTTTTTTTTTCCTGTAGTTTAATTAAATATTTACCTTGGAGTGCCTCGTGCTGTGAACACCTTCATCTGTTCTGGAGATAATGGAATTCCTAATTGGGGGAAAGTGGGAAACTCTATCAATGTGTCAGGATTTGGGTCTTGGGAATCCCCTGGACTCAGTCCCAGTACCTGGATTTTGAGTGTTCCTCAAATTCCCACTGCTCCCAGAAGCTGGATGGACAGGTGGGAAGGGAGCTGCTGGTGGGTTTTGGTAGCACTTGGATAAAGTTTTTCCAGCCAGAAACACCCAAAATGTGGGTTTTGAATTCCATTAAAGTTCCTGTTTGTGTGTGGAAAAGGCAAGCGATGCTGGCATTACCCGGGGATGGTGTGGGGATGTGGGAGTGAGCTGGGAAACAGCACTGCAATGGGCCAAAACAGTGTTTGAGATCAATGTCAATCCCGTTTCCTGAGGTTTGACATAAAAAGGAAGGAATTTGAGCACTTCCAGTGCTTCCATGTGTTTTTCCAGGGAGGTTGTGGATTCCCCATCCCTGGAAGTGTCCCAGGCCAGGCTGGAGCAATCTGGGACAGTGGAAGGTGTCTGGGTGGGAACCAGATGATCCTTTAAATGCCTTCCACACCAACCCATTCTGTGAAAAGCAGAGCAGGAATACTGGGAATGTCCCGTTGTATCCATGGATCTGGCACATCCCACCTCCCCTTCCCTGGGTGACCCTCGAGTGTAAAACACTGCCCTTTCCCCTCCAGCTTTTCCTGTTGGACAATTGCATTTCACCTGTCTGTCCATCCCTGTTTTCTGCCGGAGATTTGGGTCGGGTTGGAGCTGTGTCAGCGACGCCACTCCCGAGTGTCAGGAACTCAATCCAGCGCTGGAATTGCGCCGCTCCAGCCCCCGTTCCTGAGGGTCCAGCTCGTTCCCGCCGCGCATTTCAATGAGTTAATTGGAGCTCCGGGTCAGGAGCCGCTTCCCGGCCCCCGGTTCTTAATTAAAGGCACCGGGAGATTAATTTGAAGCGTTAATTTAAAAGTGCCGGCACAAAAGGCAGGAATTATTGCCACTAAAGAACTTCCTTGTCCCCAGATGTAGAAGACAGAACCAGCTCAGGGTCCTGGGGGAATGCAGGCCATCCGAGTCCATCCCGGGTAAGTACATCTAATCTCCCTCCCTCAGCCTGGGAACGTGCAATCCAGGACAGACGGGCCCGGCCGCTCGGCTGCTCCTTCTAGGGCCTTTTAATATTCAACCTGCGCCTGGGCTCGGATCCGGCACCTGCTCCAGGGGCATTGGAGCATTCCGGGCCCTGGGAAGGTGTCCCTGCCCACCCGTGGGATGGTCTGTAAGGTCCCTTCCACCCCCAGCCATCCTATGATTTTTAGGGATATTAATTAGCCGTTTATTGCGGGGCTCCCTCAGTCCTGGCCCCACCTGAGCGCAGCCGGCACAGGCTGTTTCCCAGGGTTTCACCCCCTGCACTGGGATTTTTAGGGATTGGGGGTGTCCCCAAGCCTGAGGGGAGGGCCAGCCCCCATCCCTGTGCCAGGGCTCACATTCCATGGCCATCCCTGGCCACTCCATGGCCACTGACCACCCCTGGCCATCCCATGTTCCCCCCAGCCATTCCATGACCACTGACCTTCCTGCTCCTGTTCCCAATGGAGCATCCCAGCTTTTCCCTTCTTCCAGGCTGAGCATGGCTTGTGCCTCAGCTCTGTGCTGCTCGTTCCCTGTTTATCCCCCTTTATTCCCTCCAAACCCATAGAGAACACTGAGGGTGGGCAAGAAGTGGCTTCTCTCTTCCTCGTGCCCTGAGTTAAATTTGTTCTAATTCCTGTTTAATTGTTTTCCCATTAATTGGAAGGCTCGGGGCTCCAGCAGCTCTGTGCCCTGGAATGGGGAGGAGGAGCGGGATTGGGCCCTCCATCCCCTCTCCATCCCCTCTCCACCCCCTCTCCATCCCCTCCTCATCCCCAATCCAGGGCCTTTCCCTCGAGGCGGCCCAGGGGGATCCCTGATTTCCCTGATAGGGAAGGAATCCCAGTACCTTTTCTTCTCCATCCTGCTTTGCATCCCTGACGTCATTCCCGCCCGGCACGTTGATTTTTCTCCCCTTTTTTCCCCCTTGACACTTGTATTGCTTCCCAGGGAAAAATGTTTTGAAAAGGAAGTTGGGAATTGGCACACACTGATTATTTCTGCCTCCAAACCCCTGAATGAAGTTGGGAGATAGAAAGAAAGGGAGCACGAGCCTGGGAGGAATTCGGGAATTTGAATCAGGGCTGGGCATTAACTGCCAGAATTATTCCACAAACGGCCTGACCTCGCTTTTCCCTGCTGGAATGGCATTCCCACAGCGGGAGACTCTGCTTCTCCTGACTCTTTCTTCCATATTGTGAGCAGGAGGACCCTTCTGAGAGGGTTTATTGCCCAGCACAGAATTCCAGGAGCATCATCCCAGTCCTCCGTTCTCCCCATGGTAAAGTCGATTTGTGGTGAACCAAAACATTGAAACAGCATTAAAAACTCCCTGGAACGTGACATTCCAGGGGAAAAAATCCAGGGAATGATGCTTTGTAGAGCAGGTTTAACATTCAGCAGGGAATGACGGGCTTGGGGGTCAGGGAAGCGCTGCTCCAACGTGTGTTTTATCCCGGTTTCCTGGCAGAACTATGGAGATGGGACTCACTACGATCACATGGCCAGCAGAGACCTCGGCTCCCACGACAATCTCTCTCCTCCCTTTGTCAATTCCAGGATACAAAGTAAGGACATGGAATTTTCTACTTTAATCTGGGGCTGAAATTGGGATATATGAAGCAGAAACAAAATCCAGAGGGTTTAAATCCCTCTTCATTCCTTAGAAGGGTGGGAACATGGGATATGCCTAATTTTTCCTGTTTTAAGGTATAAAAATGTGCTGTGGTGATGCTTATTATTTTTTATATATTATATATATATTTATAAAATTGTGTTTTCTTGCTGGGCTTGGGATGCAAAATTTCCCCAGAGAGGTAAATGGTGTTTTCCTGAGGCTCAGCTTCTCCTTGCCTGGTTGGACACTCTGGGAACGGGATTTTTAAAGCAGAAAAGGCTTTTTGAAAATACAGTAAATAAATAGTAACCCAAGGGACCAAACAGCTGGTGAGGGACACTGGGAATGTTGTTTGGAGGGGGACAGATTGCTGCCTGCTGGGATCTGGACTCCAAATCCTTGGATCTGATTGAGGGGAGCCCAGGTGGGCAAGAGGCACCTGGATTGTATCAGTCACAGTGGGGAATCCTGGGATCAGCTCTGTGCTCGCCAGGTACAGGATAATGAGGGGCTGGAGCGTGTGCAGGAAAGGGAAGGGAGTTTGGGAATGCTCTGGAGCAGCAGGAGTGGCTGAGGGAGCTGGGGGGGCTCAGCCTGGAGAAAAGGAGGCTCAGGGGGGACCTTCTGGCTCTGCAACTCCCTGATGGATCTAGGGGGGAATTGGGCCCTGCTCCCAGGGAACAAGGGACAGCAGGAGAGGGAAGTGCCTCAAGTTTCACCAGAGGAGGGTCTGGTCGGACACCAGGAGGAATTTCCTCCTGGAAAGGGTGGTCAGGCCTTGGAAGGGGCTGCCCAGGGGAGCAGGGATCCAGGTGGATCCCCATCCCTGAAGGTGGCACTCAGTGCTCTGGCCTGGGATCAGTCCCAGCTTGGACTCCATGGATCCTTGAAGGTTTTGCAGCCTCAGGACTCCTGGGATTTGGTTTGGTCCCCCCTGCATGGCCGAGGAGAGGCTGGGATTGGTCAGGAGTGACTCCTGGCTCCCGCAGTTAAGGAGGGTGATTAAAGTGAAGAGGTGATGTCAGAGTGTCCCTCCACCTCCGGCTGGGCCAAGATCCCGCCCCAGTTCCCTCAGAGAACTCATCCGGCTCTGCTTTACAGCCCTGAGCCCGCTCCAAGGAAAACACGGAGCTGGGGCTGCCATAGATCACTCCACAGCCCCCCCAGCCGTCCCTCTGCCCGCGGGATTGGGAAAGAGCTGGGAGTTGTTGAGCAGTGCTGGAGCTTGGAGTGGTTCGTGCGGATTCCCAGCCAAGGCACAGTTACAACAGTTTGGGAAAGGCTCCGGAGAAGCCAAGAAAAGCAGGGAAATTTCACCACTCCCTCCCGCACTCACGCCACGGGGCTGAGGGAGAGCACAGGGAGCCAGGGAGAGCCGCTGCTGCCGCTTCCCACCTGAACATTTACCTGCAAACCAGCAAGCCTGGAAGCATCTCGCCCTCTCCTACCTGGCCTGGGCTTCCCGAAAAATCTCAGTCCTGCTTCTCCCAGTTTTAAGGAAAACAGTGTTTTCCCTTGGTTTAAGAAATATTTGGTTTATAAAAACGCAGTTGGGGGCACCTGGGGAAGGAATGCAGAAGGATTCAGGATTCCAGAGTTCCTGATAAGGGATTTTGGGAGCATCCTCATGTTTCTAGAAGGTCCTGCTTAATTGCCTTGGAGGAGTTTTCCCGTCTGTGATAGTGGGATGGGTGCAGGTGTTCCTCCTGCTCCAGCATTCCCAGGGAATGGGCTGGGAGAGCTTTGTGTGGGAGTGGGAACCCATAAGCAGCAGCAGGACAGACGGTGCAGTTATGGATATCCAGGATGGGGTCTGGGAGTGTTCCGTGCTCCAGTTGTGTCGGCGTTTGGGATTTTGGGAGGAATTTATGTGCAGGGCTCTTCACTCGGACCAGACTGTGGCTCCGACTCCATTTATTCCAAATGGATTCCCTCATTTCCCTTCCCCTGGCAGCGCTCTGGACTCTCCCAAGGAAAGCTTCCTGTCAATTTGGGTGTCAGGATCCGGCTGTGGGTTCCTTTCCATCCTTTCTCCCCTTTCCCTTGGCAACTGATCCAGAGCCTGACAATCCTCCCCCTTAAACTGGTTCATACTGGTGTGTTCCGTCAGCTCGGCTGGAGTGGCTCCTGCTGTGGGATGGGGGCTGTGGAATCATGGGATTCAGGTTGGAAAAGCCCTCTGGGACCATGGAGTCCACCACTAACCCCTGTCCCCGCGTGTGGCACATCTGGCGTCGCTTCTCATCGCCCCTCCCCTTCCCAGGCATCCTCGTTGGGAATGCTGCTTGTCCTGCTCCTTGGAATACCCTGTTAAAGGGACAGGAAATCATTTCCCGTTGCTTTTCGACCCTGCGTGACTTCCTGGAGCATTTCCCTGCAGGGAAGTGGTTCAGTGCTCCTGGGGGGATTTTGGGATTGTCCTGTGCAGGGCCGGGAGCTGGACTCAGTGACTCCCTTCCCAGTGAGGAGATTCCAGGATCCTGTGATTCCAGGGAGGTTCCAGGTGCTGCTGTTTTAGGTGGTGACCTCTGGGTGATAATTTGTCGTGTGACAGCTGCAGGTTCCTTGGAATTCCATCCCTCTCCTGGCTTTGCCTACCAGAAATATTTAGGTTTGTGCTTCCAAGTGCTCTGAACATCCCTAAGAGAGCCAGAATTTTGTGCAGATTAGGGAAGTTTCCCCAACACAGCGTTAAAAGGCCCCGCTTCCAGTTGCTAAACTGTCAGCGTCTGGGCAGGAATTTTCCATGCTGGGGTTCTGACTCAGCCGGCTCTGTGGTTTTTTACCCTTCTGCAGGACTGATTTCAACATTCCCTCAAGTGGGATTCCATTTCACCTCGGCACTTTTGGGATTTGCTCGGTTGGGAACATTAATTCCCTTTCACACCACCTCTGTTATGTCAGGTGGCTCCTGCTCTGCAGCTGGAGCAGGGAAGGGGCACCAGGAACTGGGAGGGAAGCAGCAAAACCTGTCCAGGAATTCCAAGGTTGGAAGGGGCTTGCAGCACCCCGGGGTGGTGGGAGTTGTCAGGGTTAGAATGAGGTGGGATTTAAGGTCCTTCCAACCCAAACCAATCTGGGATTCTGGGAACCTAAAAAGGTCAGGAAAGGCCTTTGGAAACCCCAAAACTGGGAATTCCAGGCTCTAGTGTTCCTTTGAAGTGTTTTCCATTCATGGAGCTGATCCAGCCCAGCACCAGTTTTAGGAGAATCATGGCATCATGGAATGGTTTGGGTTGGAAGGGACCTTAAAGCCCAATTTATCCCACCCCCTGCCATGGGCAGGGACACCTCCCACTATCCCAACTTGCTCCAAGCCCCGTCCAACCCAGCCTTGGACACTCCAGGGACCCTCCATCCTTGGAGACCTTCCAAAGTCATGATTTAATGCCGAGTGGAACCTGGAAAAGTGCTTTAAAATGCTTTGTGGGAGCCACAAAGCTGGAAAGAGAAACACATTCCCACTCCAAGGCAGGAGTTAATAGATTTGTCAGTGCTGCCAGTCAGGATTCCGGGCCCGGCATCCAACTCCAGCCGCTCGACAGTCCCGGAGAAAGGAGATGACAAGGACATCTCCATTTCCTTGGGAAGAGCAGAGATGTGTACATAGAAACTGGCTGCTCTGGCAGCTGAAACGTGAGGTTGGCCTGCAGAGTTTGCCGGGAAGTTTACATTCCTTGGGATCTGGGCCTCAAACAAGCCGAGTTGTTTTGTGGGACAGGCTGGAGTTGTCCTCTCTGAAGGCAGCAGGAATGGCCTCCTGCCTAGAATCCTGGTCTCCTGTCCATTATCCCAGACTCCTGTCCAGAATCCCGGTCTCCTGCCCATAATTCCAGCCCCCTGGTCAGCTCTCCCGTTGTGATGCCAGGCTTGGAGCTGGATTTATCCCCTGGAGAGGGAAACAGCTTCTCCAGTGACATCCAGAGGTGCTTTAGTGGTTAAGGAGCTCCTGCTCTTCCCAGGGATTATTGGAGCTTGGCTTTCCAAGCTTTTGTTGCTGGTGTTGGTGGCAGAGGGAATTTTGAGCTCCCACCTGTCTGGGCATTAAGAGAAACCTGGAAGTGACTTCCTTAAATATTCATGAAGAGGGAAGAACTCAATCTGGGAAGTGGGACGTGTCCCTGCCCATGATGGGAGGGGTGGGAACGAGGTGGGATTTAAGGTCCCTTCCAACCCAACCCATTCCAGGATTCTATGAATGAAAAAAAAATAATTCAAATAATAATAATTCAAATATCAATAATTAAAATAATAATAATGTAAAAACAATCATGTAAAATAGTAATTTGAAAAATAATAATTTAAAAAGGAATAAACCACCCAATAATTAAAAAATTACAAAAAAACCCCAAAAAAACAAAACCCAACACCAAAAAACCCCAGGGGTTTCTGACTGAATTCCAGTTTCCTGGAGTTTCCTGGATGAAGTTTCTGTGGCTGGAGTGTTTCTTCCTGAGCCTCACCCAGGGATCCCGGGGCTGTTCGGGGGGACACGCCGGGTTGGGATTTGCATTACAGCTGGAAAATGGACATGTGGGAAAATCTGGGAAACAAAACCAATTTGGTGAATTAGTGGGTCATTTCCATAGGCGGTCACGGTCCGTTGGGCAGGGAAAAACAATGGGTTTGTTATGCTCCTGGTTAAAGCCCAGAGTGGCCAACAAAGCCCAGTTTAATTAATAAGCACTCGGAGCCCAGCCCCGCAGTCTGAACTTCCCAGCCTGGAGAGGTGGGGAATTCAAGGAGGAGCTGCAGACAGAAAAGCAACTTGTTTTGGGGAGCTTTGGTTGATTCTGCTGGAAAATGATGGATCTGAGGGCTGGGGTGGCTGAGCTGTGCTGCTGGTTTAGGTTTAGGACAAGCTTTGCACTGTGGTGCTTAAAACTAAGGACTCCCTGAATTCCTGCCGGGATTTTCTGTCTCCATCCAAGACAGAGTGATCCTCCCTTT